ACGACGCTCTTCCGATCTCCCCAAAACCCCAAAACCCCTTGTGACAGCTATAGTTTGAAAAATTACGATTATTTAAGATATAATGCTAGATCAATAATAAATATCAAAAAGCTATTGAAGTTTAGTTTATTAAAGCAATTAGGAATAGAGTATTAACTTAAGCAATGAAATTATTGTTATTTGATCAGTGATATTCAAGCCATATTTAAATGATTTTTTTTTGAAATTTATGTCAGTGAAGCAAAAAGTTATTATTGGCTTTAAAAATCTATAAAATCTTGTCTCAGCTGGTTCATTTATTCTTCCTCAATAAATGGTGCCAAGCATTAATTTATTTTATTCTAGGAATACTGTCTAAAATCAAAGCAGAACTGGTCATCATTAATCTATTATTTGATAATAATTTACCCTTTACTAATTGAATGGCTGATGGGTTCTAAATAACCTACAGATCTTCTAGACCTTTAAGTTTTTTAAATTCCAGACTCAGTGTGCTTCAGAGAAATGTGTTTTACTAATTGGTATTATCTATAATATTCTTGAGCGCACAGTTAACACCGGTAAGTTCTAGAGTTATGTTAATAAGAAAAGGATATATATTACTTCGTTTTGAGATGGCGTCTGCTGTGATCTCTCATATTTCCTACACTTCGGAACTTTTTCCCACAAAAATTACATTAATAAGGGGTTTCGCCGCTGTGGTTTCGCATATGAACCTTCAGATTTCCTTTTTTAAAAAATGGTTTATGACAAATAGGGCATAAGACACTCTTGTAATTATATTTTCTCTTCCTCTGTGGCTCATGTAATTTTCTTAATTTGCTGAGTCTTCTTTGACATATTTTAATTTCAAATATCTTTTGGACTTATTCCGGTTTAACCGTTGTAACTCTTTCTGATATCGCAGTCTATTCATCCAGCATATAAGATTATATTGATGAATTCGATGAGTATTGCTTCTACTTGCTGATTTCCATGGGTGGTTGAAGGTTCTCGTTATTAGTGTATAAACTATTAATTATTATTATTACTCTTTATTAAACTTGGACAGGTGATATCAATATTATTTCTCCAGCTAAATGAAAACTTTGTTTTATAAATCCAGAACAAAAGTAACACTCCAGCTATTTCTAAACTGCATTGATTTTAATGCAATATTCAAATTCTACCTCCATTTAAGTTAAATTAGGATGTATTCAGAATTTTAGACTGCTTACTGAGTTATACTTTGAAAATCAAAACATATAAATAGATTAATAGGCTTGCTTAAAATGTATTCATCAAACAAACGATAAATCTATAATATATATATTTATTAGCTAGATTAATACTTTCAAAATTTAAATAACTTGATTTTAGCAATCAGATTTTATTATATATTCTTAAAAATCCAGCTAAAGTTTTATCTAAGCTTACCGGGGTTTTGGGGTTTTGGGGTTTTGGGG